CTCTGGCGACCAACTTGCCATTGATGTTGGGCCCGCGGAAGTGGGACTCCTGCTGCCCCTGCTTAAGGCGGGGGTCACGACATAATTGCTGGCCGCCCGTGCACTTATCGGCGTCACGCACCTGGAGCCATGAAAGTCGCTGCTTGGCCGGGATGGAGCTGGCAAACCGCTTGGCTCTGAACCAGCAGGCCATGACCACATCGAGAGGCACCTCGACAAACTTCGGGAATTAGACCCAAGCGTTTTCTCCTTAGTTGGGTTTGTCACGCCTACCAGCAGGCTGGCCCCCGCCAGCGCATACGCCGGCATCAGCGTACGCAGTTTGTCAAGGTAGGTCTCAGAGTCTTTGGACACGACCTCCTCTGCTGCTACCTCATCGGTGTAGAGGTTCTCGCCAAGTTTCCTTTTCGTTTGGATGGTGGTGAGTTGTAACTGTAGGTTTTTCACCTTCCAGATATTGAAGATGCAGAGCATCCGTTTGTTGAGCTCTCGGGACAGACAGGAAACCACCGCATCGCTGGGGTGACTCCGCGGGAAGAGCAACTTGTAGCACTGCCAGAAAGCTGTCTTGACATCACGAAGCTTGCTATCCCCTAACATGGAATTGACGTCAGCCAACGCTGCTACCTTAGACCTGTCCTGCTCGGTCTGATGGTAATACAACCTGACTGCGGACCAGGCCCTAAAACTCGCGCCGTCTCCGAGGTCACCCACCGGATGGCACCTATGAGCAAAGCGGCTGTCACACGCGCATGAACGGTCAGCTGCATTACAAGAACAGTCAAGGCAAAAGCACTGCACACAAGCCCTCAGATCAGCACAAGACGTCCAGCACCTGATCAGCGAACATTGTTTTGCGAGCAAGCGATATCCTCACAACCAAAAGGCAGCAGGCGCGATCTTGAAGCGCTCCAAGCACTTAGGGCGGCCCCAGGCAAACGCTTCGAACTTGTCGGCTGTCATATAGGGTGCGCCCGAGCGCACGCAGAGTGTGACCTGTCCCTCGACTGCAAGGCGCAGATGGGAGGATCCAGTCGCTACTAATCGCGCTGGCATTGCAAGGAGGGTCTGCTCAAGGTTTTGTTCTGCCTCCACAGCTTATATGCTTCCACCGGGCGTACCCGAGCCAGCTCATCGTCCAGGGAAATACTCTGCAGGAGCGACTTGAACATTGCTGCTGCACCAGCCCCTCTGTGTCATCTTGCCACGCAGTGTGTCAGCACGGACTTGCCTGCACGGAGAGACTGCTGGAGCGCGCCCCACAGGTTCTCAAACTGCTGGTCAAGGACGGCTGCGTTGACAATTTCGAAATTGAACAGCACGGCACCCGGCAGAACAAGTCCAGCACGCTCTTCCGGCCCACGGCCCACGCAGCTCACCTGCATTGAAACCTTCGGAAAGATGCCCTGGTTGATTGCTGTCGGCAGCGGGCCTAGGAACATCTTGTCGGACGAGCGAGCTGGTCACCAATGTTCATCCCGACAATTATCCGCATCTCCTCAATGCTCTGCGCTGCCCACTGATCATAGATGCCCTCCTGCTCGCGCGCGGCTCTGTCTCGCACTGCTCGTCGGGGCATAGCCTTTGCCTGTGGCGTCGGTTGGGCATGGACTTTGGCACCAGGCTCTTCGGGTTGGCAGTCAGCACCACCGGCATCGGTTTGGCCTTTTTAGGCTTGCGCTCCACCGCCTTGGAAGAAACCGGTGTAGCGCTGGGGCGCTGCCGCTGCAGCGAGCTGCTCGGAACCGGCTTGGCCTTTGCTGGGCGCACCCTGAGCTGGGGTCAACTCCCCTGCCTCCTCGATAGTGAGCCTTCTTTTATCGGCAACCTCGGCAGCACGTCGCCCCACAGACACGGCCGGATTTAAGCACTGCAGCACACAAATGCGCCAGGCTACAGGCCTCATTCCTGCATTTGGGAGACTACCACGCAGGACACAGCGCCATGCCATTCCGCAGCGCGCTGGCCATTCACACGATCAGGCATAGTAATCGGCAACATCTTATCCACGCGCTCTGGGCGCTCTACTTTCCTGAGCTTCAGAACTGATGGGCGAGGCTGCGCTGGGCTTTCTTAGGAAAGGTCACTCCTGGAGCGTCACTCCTTCCCAAACCCTTGCGCAATCCAAGCGGAGCGCCTCGGCCACGCCATCTGCAGCCACGTCTGCGCATTCCTGAAGAACTGTTGGGGGGATCTCATCCCAAGATCTATACCCTTGCAGGTCCCACGCGCGCGACAGGATGGTGTGCTTGGCTCTGACTGACAGGGTGTACTTTGTGGAGGCGTATCTACGCGTTGTGCTCTGCCCTGCCTTGTCCTGCCAATCCCCTAAAACCGCATTGGTCCCGCTGCAACAGCAGGGCCAGCGTGGGGCCGTACCTACGCCAGCTCTAGGTCGTCATGCGCTGCACGCCCTCAAAATCTCCAGCGAAAAATTGCTGGCAAGCTCTCGCCCAAGCATGGCCAAGGCGGTCAAATATTACGCTGCAGCTACCCCCGCGATGTTTGGGCAACGTTGCGAACGCTGCCTGCCAGGCTTGCCACCAAGGCCAGCCATTGGACAAATGGGCTGGCATGGACCAGGCAAATCCATCTCGCTTAGACGCCGGCTTGCGCCTATCGCAGAAACAGTGGACCGTGCTCTGGGAGATGTAGAGGACCACGGAGCGTTCCAGATGGACGAAACGGATACATCCAGAAACGAGGGAGCCACATCTTCAACGGGCCCCCTGCCTTATATGCTGCCATGATCTTCGTCTCAAGCTCCACTGCCAAGGCAGCGCCGTCACTGCTTGCTGTTCTCCCGGCTCTACCCGCTTCGATTTCTCTGGGGCTGCCAGCCCAAGTAGCAGACCACTTCAGAGCAGGGAGCGCGCGTGCTGGCGCTGAGGTGCCCACCTCCAGAAAGGCTGACAAGTCGATGATATCCGCTGAAATTTATTCAACTCCGCAACGGTCCGAATGACATTCTTTAGCGTGGCGCCCGCGGTCTGCTGGGACGCTGGGTCCTTGGGTCTGAAACTTTCTGCGGCTTAGTTTTTTAGAAGAGCTTTGTAGGCTTCAGAAGGCGGATCACGGGAGGTCGCTCCTCCCCACCGGCTGCCGCTGCCGCCGCCTGGGCTTCGTCCGCATCCTTGAGCAAGGTAGAGTCGTTAGAGTCGTCGATATCCGCAACGTGCGTCGGCCACTGCCGCTCCTCCTGCCAAAATGGCTTCCTCCCAGGAAGCAGATGCATCCGCAAAGTCGCGGTCATTCTGCAGGAAGTAGGTATCTCGGAACTTGCGCGCGCGGTCTTCTGCCAAGCAATCGAGAATGGTGTCTGCTGGCGGCAAGTCCCTAGAACTCGACGAGGTGGCTCCTTCCATTGCTTGGTGCCTAATACCATGATAATTACCAACGTGGAAGGGGTCACTCCCCTTCCAGCGCTCCTGCCGCTCAGAAACACATATGGCCCAGACTTCAGCCCGGCTTCCTGGCGGCTAGGGCCAAGGCATTCTGCCCGCACGGGCTGCGCGATCCACTCGAGCGGTCTCCTGAGGCAAATGGCCTGCCTGGCTCCACCCAAGCCCGGCTCCTAAAGTGCCATTGACGCCATGTGCGCCAGAGATGTTCGGGAGTGGCCGCCTTGGGATGCTCTTGGCGCATAACGGCCTGAATAAGCCAGTCCGCCTGGATCGGCAAACCATCTTCTGGGTACAGGCCACTCCAGAAGAAGTTGACTTCTGCATCCACCATGGTCTCCCCACGATGCTCATGATAATAGCGCCAGGCCTCTGTGACATTGTATCGGGCACCACTGCATCCGCACTGGTATAGTGGCCCACAAACGGGAAGTGGAACCCCCCACGCCGCTGGTCACACCGCTGGCAAGGCATCTCCGTACATGGGGCCACCCGGACGGACAACTCCGCCTCTCGGCCCATTGTAGGAGGGTTGTGCTGGGTTTCCACCACGGAAACCCATAACCCCATCGCCGAGGCATGGGCTCCGCGCCGCCACCTGTTGCGGACCTCATTGGCAAACTTCTGGTAAGTTGCCGGAGACAAGACATTCTCCTCTGTATGGTAAGCAGCCCGCCCCAGCAAAGACATGCTTCATACACGGTAGAGGGCCCCTCCCTCTCGAAAGTCAGGAAGGACTCCTTCCTTGCGCAATCAATCAGCAAGGTTGCCCCTTGCTATCACCTGTCACAGGTCGATTCCTATCAGATCAATCACAGGTCGACTCCTGTTTTGCGTAAACAAAGCTGCTGCCAGTTCGACTCACAGCCCGGCTTGGACCCAAAATGGCAGCAGCATGAACCTTTAAGAATGATTTGCATGCACCCAAGCCTGCCAAACTCAACATGCTAACAGACAACATGAAAAACTCAAAATCATGAAAACACATACAAATAAAAGTCAAATTGAAATTGATGATACAGTGAACCGTGATGAAACATGACAAACTATGAAGAAAGATTACAGAAAATGAAAAAGTAACATCACAGAAAAGATAACATGTGATTCAACGTGATGAAACATGATAAAATGCTGGGCATGAAGACAGCTGACGTCAAAATGGTGAACAATAATAAGCATGATGGAACATGTTACAGCGAAAAAATGGCGGGACTCGCAGTCAAGGCGAAGCATGATGAACTATCAAGAAGCTGGGAGAGACGGTGAAACCTCATGAAGCATCGTGAACATACACAGATGAAAACATATCATGAAAACATGACGGCGATGAAAAATGGTGGACATGATGACAGCCTATCAGAAAGGATGCTGAAAAGCGATGGAAGGAGATGAAGAATGATCCAACGACCATGCTTCCTTCCTTGTTTCTTTCCTTGCTTCTTTCCTGCTACTTCCCTTCCTCCTTTCCTTCGAAGGGGATCTCGCGACTCGACAATACTTCGAGCGAGAGCCAAATGTGGAGACCAAGGAGACGGGAAGCCAAGGAGGCCGCGAAGCAAAAAGCTGCAAAGCTGCAAAGCTGCAAAGCCAAGCTGGGGGCTACCAAAAAAAAGCAGGGGAAGCCAGAAAACCGTCAAAACCATACTCACAAAGCATAGAAAAACATAATACAGAACCACCAAAAATATGAGCCCTCCGAAGAAAACTTCCAAAAGGCGCCAACAAAGAATAACACTTCAACTGCTCCTGATAATCAGCGAGTTTGACACAACATGTCCCTGTAATTGTCACGGACCAACTGTGCCTGCTGTGAGTTCTGTCACTGGTTTGGCCAAGCAACTTTTCTGCCTCTGCCCTTTTCAGCTTGCGGTAGTGAACATACCTTGCACATACCGCATACCCTAAACACGAATGTAGCTGCTGCTTCCAACGCAATGCAGGAAACTCAGCCGCATGCGAATGCAAGGAATACACAATGCCACCACCTCCAAAAAGAAGAACCAGAATCAGCACGAAGACCCAGTGGGGTAGATCCTGGTCCCAATGCGGGCTTGTGAATTCCGGTTGTAGACAGCGTGGTCATAATGACTCATGCTTGGAAGCAGGCGTTGCTGACGCGGAAATCTTTGGCATACACCGGGGCACACCCAACGCGGACAAGATCGTATAGCCACCTTAGCTTCAACGACGCAGCTCGATGCATGTGAGTGAGCCAACGCCGAATGCATGGGCATTGCACGGCGCGCCCGCCCAAGTTTACCAATGGCAGATTCTGGTGCATCAGGATGCAAGTTTCCCAGCACAAGCTTGCAGCAAGCACAAGAAGCACCGCTGGGGCTCGGACCAAAGACCTAGTCCTCCAAGCGTCACTAGCCTAGGCTCTTGTTTGCTGCTCGCTGACCGTTAAGATCAAGGACAGGTGGATCGGTTACCACAGCTTCTAGGCACCGTGCTTTATCAGACCGCTAACTGGAAAGCCGAGGTAGAAGCGATCGAGACCTGAGACAGCAACATGTCTGGGGGAAGTTGGCTCTTCACAGGAGGTACACAATGCACGAAGCAGGATCCATGGGACGGCAAACTTTTGGCTGCTACAGCCGCGAAGTGGCAGCCAGGTCGGGACTGCATGTTCGATCGACTGCCGCCTTCATCACAGCTTCGTAAATTCGCGGCAGGTGATCGACGACCATGCGGCGGCCACCCGACAAATCTATGCGAGGTGCCAGCTCTTCAGGCTTGAGCTCCTCGACTTCGCCGTCTGTCTGTAACAGGAAGCAACGACCGGCAGGATAGAGCTTCAGCAGCTCTACAGACTCTCCTGCAGCCTGGCCCTCGACGGCATCAATTCTACTCATCTGCATAGCCTCTTCTAAGCCTTGCGGGATGGCTTGTGCAGCAGCCTGCGCTGCCTTGAACAGACCTACAGTATCCCGTGCTGCTTGTGCTTTTTCCAACAGCCTCTTTACCATATCACCAGCACCAGCTGCGGCAAGAACAGCACGGCCATGAAGCTCCAGCAAGTGGCCGGTGGATAGCCTGGGGACTACATCCTCTGCATGACAGAAGGATGCTGCTCGACCACGAAGCGACTCGCTGACAGCAGACGAGCAGATTCCTGGAGCTCCGAAGCTGAAGCACTGTACTCGAAGCTGGCATTGACCCTCCTTGGAATTTGTGCTGGCAACTGCAGAGGTGCTGTGGTCATCGAAGATCGCTGGCAGGATGGCTACAGGATGCTCATGACCAACGACGAGTTCCACAAAAAGCATCGTCATGTATGCAGCAACTCCGCCACCCAAGCTGTGCCCAGCAAACGTAATGGTATCCACTTGGCCAGAAAGGTCTTGCAGAACAGGCTGAATCACTCGTAGAACATTGCAGGCGCTCTGCAGCATATTCTTGTGAGCCTGCACACACCAATTAGCATGTAGAACACTCAGATTCATGTGTGTAGTTATGCTTCCAAAGCATCTGGCAGGAGGCCTTGCCCCCAAGGAAAAGGTCCACCTCCTCAGCTCCTAGGTCGGTAAGAATATCCGGCACGCTCAGGGTGCCTCAGGCGGGCTGAGTTGAGTTTTGAGGTGGTCCTACTTCAGGCTACAAGGTACATTCAGTAGCGCGGTTCGAGTCTGAAACAACTATCCCGTGCCTCGAACAGTGACAACAGCCTCGCGACGCTCACGGTCGAGAAGCACATAATGAGCTGGAAGGAGCCAACCAGCTTTCAAAGAAGCATGTGGCACAGTTACCTGCAGGCTATACAAATCGATTGATTATTTGATGCGACCGTCCGCAGCCTTCTCTGGATCAAGGCTACCGCCCGCATGCTGGCACAGCAGTCGAAGGAAGGTCTTCTCGTTGACCACCACTCCAGGTCCAGGGCGGAGCGTAACGCGGCCATAAGCTGCTGTGGAGAGGCGCATGTACCGAAGCGCCTCCACGAGGAGGCCACACTCAGCGTGCTCAAATCCTTCTTGAGCTGGCTGTGAAGGCGACTCACCTTTGGTGCCGCGCTTGCGCTCGTTTCTGTCCTCGGGCAAGGTGGCTGATCCCTTCAAACCCTTCATCTCAGAACATTGACCTGGAAGCTCGCTGGCTGCATGTCACAGTGCCGCATCCCAGAGTGTCTTCGAAGCACAAGGATGAATCAAATTTAACCAAATACAACCCGGTGCAAGCTCCCAAAACCTTCACAGCAGCCTTTTCAACGCAGCTGGGCAGAGCTGAGGTCGGATCATGCAACACCAGAACGTTGAGACCCACCAGCGTTTTTGGCAGGGTATCAGGCGAGATTTTGGCCATGAGGCTTCTGTATACATTGGAGACCTAAGCTGTCCCGACCTACTTGACCACAACAGAAATCACTCTGCCCCAACAGGGTCACTAGCTAACCAAGCCGCCGGGCCCAGTGCATCCCAGAGTTGGTGCTCCCACGGCGCCTGCCAAGCTGCCTGCTTCTCAACGTGCGCCTCACCAGCGGCTTGCTGAAGAATTCAATTTCGGAACATCTTCCAACATGCATTGCAAGCTGCTGCATCTGGGTCTGATGAAGGGTAGGCCAAAGAAGGAACCAAGTCCTTGCGGCAAATCGAGTGAATAGGGGGAATTTCATCTTAGCCTGAAACCCATCAGGAGACCTAAACCCGAAGGTCGCAGCAGAGGTTCTGGCAAACCGTCAAGGTTGACATGCCATCTGGGACCTGCCATGGCATAGTTCCGCACAAACGGTGAGTCCTAGGGCCCTAAGGTCGTGATATGGCGTGATGCAGAAGGCCTTCTTCACCTTTGCAATGGCTCCACCTCGAGGCCCTGGGTGGAAAATCCCTACTGTACACTTGCTTCACCCACACAGTCAGATCTGCTTGGTCAGAATGCCTCAATCGGTTCCTCCAATGTCTCTGCGCGGCTACCTGGGCAGCCAGTAGGCCTGCTGCCCAGAGCTCACGAACCGCAGGCATCTGCTGACCATGACATGCGCCGAAGACGTGACAGGGGTTTACGATAAATGACGGATGCGCTCTTGAATATTGCGCTATCTTAGAGACTTTGCAATCATGCTTGCTTTTAGTGCCTTGTTTTGGTCAAGCGCCTTCGAGCCACATGCATAATCCCTCTATCTGCCGCGCTCGGCCAGGTCACCGCCAAAAGAACTCTCTGCCTGATTGCCGTCTTCCTCCTGCGGGTCAGAGCAGGTCAAATGGTACAGCTGCACTTGTGGCTAGCCATCACAGCTTTGCTGTGCGAGTCACCTACTAGTTCGGGCCTTCCTCAGCCCAGGTTCATAACACCTACAGCCGCATTCTCAAGCAGAGGTCTGGAGTGAAGAGGGCTTGTTGTGGACCACCCACAGCCACGACAGCGCCCTGGTTCGCTTCTCCCTCTCGAAACACAGCTTGCGACTAGATCTCTTAGCCTGGAACAGGCAACATGCCGAGCACCAAGGCAACACAGAGAGCCTACAGATGGGTGCATGCACAGCTGCAGCGCTTGTCTGCATTAGACGCATCGCATACTTTAAGAGCTTCTTTCACTGAACCTGTTAAACACTGCAGCATGAACTGGAACTATGCAGCCGGTGCGCGTTGGGCTTCGCTCAACGCACAGGCCTGCTTGTGCCTATTCAAGATATTCGAATTCCTCTGGCAGTCCGAAGGAGGAATTGAATTGAGCTGCACTGACCTCACCTCGCCGCTCCCTGCCATGCGAATTCAAACATGATCGAACTTGGGCCTGGAACAGTTGCCGGCCTGAGAAACTGCGAGCGAACTGCACCTGAGGAGCACATCTTTGTAGCTGCGGCTACACAGCTCTTCGATTCCTTTCATTTTCAAATGAGGGTCTTAGTGCATGGGAACAAACTGACGTTCCCTGAAGCAGTACATGGGAACACACTGACGTTCCCTGAAGCTTGAGTTCTGAACAGATGTTGTCTGCCCAGCGGTTTGCAGCATCCTTGAAAAGGCAGCATGCTGATATCAGCACATCGCAAACCAAAGATGGGCAAGCTTCAGCAGGCCTTCGCAACCAGGATTTGCTTCTTCATCTCCGCGAGCTTTCCTGGACCGCAGCGCTCGTGTGCCTGGCTGGCATAGTCTAATGGAGGGCAACCTCGTCCTTGACTGGCAAACGATACCGCATGACTGGTGTGCATGCAGCTAAACTGCCAACCCAACCGCGGGCCTCAATCTCTGCTCGAAGCTGCTCGCACTTCTTCCGCTCCTGTAATGCCTGAGCTCGAAGCGCAGCCGCCTCTGCCTGTGCAAAGTAATGGGAGGATGACTGCTTCTGTCGCTGCTACAACTAGAGGACAGTTAGGGTCAGAATGGCGTTGTGCAACTGCCATGGCCTCTGTAGGAGCTGGTTGATGGGAAAGCTGAGAGATTTCAGCCTGCCCAGAGTCTGGTTTTCGTGGGCATAGCTGCTGCATGCCAATCAATGGTTTTGCTGCCCTCTCTGCACATCCGCGCAGACTCCGTTTGAAGAGGTCCTTTTGTAACATCCAAACACTGCGGCTGCAAGTTGCACTGAGCAAATTTTGCTGCTGGAAGAGGAACTTCTTGGAAGCTCTTCCCGCAGCGTCTAGGGAGGGAACCCCATATTCGCGGAGTCAAGCACTGGCGCATGCAAAATTATCTAAAACGGAGGGGTCAGTCTTTGTAGCACACCAGATGAAGTCAAGTTATGACCTGCCTTTTCGTCAGAATGGCCCCTGACTGTTCACAAATGCCCCCGGAAGACTTCGCTCGCTGCAGGAGTGCCGGGTGCAGGTGTTTTGCCATCGTGAAACTCGCTGTCCTCTTCACCTCGGTAAAAAACTTTGCCCTTTGCTTGCCCACGAAAACCTTCCATCGCTTCACGGCCGAGAAGCGGAGTGTGTCAGCCAAAGGATTTGTCGGCGGCTTCAAGAGCTCGCGGTAGATTCCCGGCTTGACACGGCCTGGTTACACATCAAGACTGAGCTCTTTCGATCTCTTTTGAGACTTCAGTGACAACCTCTAAATTTCAGCTTGCCTGCCAAGCCGTCCAGCGGCCTCCTGTGTCGCACAACTTCTCACAAGCAAATAGCTGTGCATGGCACCCATTGGCCTGGACTTGGGAGATCTGTACTCGGCTCTCTTGGGCATCCGCCATTCCTGAAACATTCAGCGTGAGATAATTAGCATGAGCATCGCTGTGCATCTACCTCTGGCAAGCTAGAACTGTGTGAGCTTTTTAAAATGGTGGCTGGGTATCTTAGCATAGATACTGTAGACTAGAGCAGGCGTTGCGCGGATTGACAACATGAGGGTTGGCAGGCACACTGCTGTTTCAAGGACAGAGCCTGATGGATCAACAGTAGCAAGACCAGCAAAATCAGGCTTCCCGCGTACCACCCTGCTATCTGAAAAGAGACTTGAAGTTCCTTACATCTGAGTTCCAAGCAGAACAGGATTCCACAGAGTAGTATGTCAGCGCAGCTTCAGGCAGCTTCCTCAGTTCTGAGTGGTACATGCTCCAGCTGAGAGATCACAGCAGCCGACCAAGTCTAGCGAATTCAGGGATGATGCCAGGCTTCACATCAGCTTCAGTCTTAGTGCGGTGGAGGCCGTCGTGCCGTGTCGCTTTGAAGAAGGCTTCAGAATACCTCACGGAACGCCAGTCATGCCCCGCACATACTGTACCCAATGCGCGTGCAAAAAAAACACACGCCAGGCCTTGCACGGGACTTTGGGGCCATGTCTTCGCGTTTCAACCTTCGCAAATCTTCACAAGGTGAAACCTGGAGGCCTGCTTCCTTGATGTGCTTAAGCAGGCCTGATGGGCATTTCCGGTCGGATAAGTGGCGGTGGCTGCTCCTCCTCCGCTGACCCAAGCCTCTGCCTTTCGCTGGGGGTACTCCCCCACATGCGAGGGGTTGCCTCACCATGCAGGCTAAGATGACAACACGACTCAGAAACTCAAGCACGCTATTCGCCTCAGTGACGCCATCATCGTCCAGCAGCAGGCTCTGCTTGAGTTGGAAGAGCACGGCTGGTTGCCTAATCAGATGCTTGGACAACGCAGGAAGCTCAAATATGAAGTTGCATCTAGACATATCCTGCTCGCAGCTTCTCGAGCACAAGGGCGGGTTGCGGTTCAGCAAAAACGAAGGGAGGCTTGGCGAAGAAGAGCTTGCCCTTACCTCCAGATGCATCTCATGGTTGCTAAAGTTTTGCAGCTTGAGCTATGACACAATCGCAATCATTCGCACAATGCTACTCAGGCCCCTCTATGAAACAATGTCTGCGCTTTTGGTCGCGTGGCTCGCAGGCTTTTGGCCGTCATCTTTCCCAGGCTGGGTGATCGGACGGCCTGCATGTTCTCAAAAAAGTCCATGAGCATGAAGACAAGGTCTCAGAAACCAGTGGCCTCTGTGGCCTTGTAGACTTGGCGGAATCCACACTGGCTGAGAGTGCAAGTGGCGGTCCCGAACCTGCACAAGAGCAGGACGTCTCGGCATCTAACCTTGGCACTTCCCCGCTTTACATCCCTTCCACGCGTCGTCAGCCTGGAGTGCAACTGAGTGCAACTACAGTGTCTCAATTGTGGCCTGGCCCGTCGGATGCGCGCGGCTAATCCAGCGGGCCTTCGCTGAATGCCAGATTTACAAGTTCCCCGACACTTTGCCTCCATACTGAGTCATCTGAATGCAACCCTCAAGACCATGTGACCTTCTGCGAGACCGGTGCGGAGTTGCAGCGGCCCAGATGCTCACGACTTCCAAGGCCTCGGCATTGCGAGATGCAACTCTGTAATCATCTTCCAGCAGAGCAAGGCAAACACAGAATCTGCACCTGTATCCTGAGTCATCTCAATCATTTGAGGGCCCCGCCGAGTCTGACTACAATCTCATCCTGAAAATGCTCTGAGGGTGCCATCCATTGGGCGTACGCGGAAAGCCGGCAAGGACAACTTGCGTAAGACAAAATGCCAACAATTGCCTGGAGGCTCTTCGATCTCTTCCCCTGTTTTGTTGCCCTGTATAATGTTCCTCTTTTGTGCTCTGAGCCACGGCCAAGGTTGGTGCCAAAAGGCTCGGAATCTCGCATCACTCGCAGGTGCCCTTCACAACATGTGGCAAACGTTATCCGCCTGGCATTTCTGCAGTTCGGCTTGGAGATGCTTGATTTCCGCCTACCAAGCACGATGCACAACTTGCAAGCACAGGAACCTTGTAACTTAATTTGTGGCGTCCAGCCTCCACTTTGTGCCGTTTCTTCTCCAGCATTGCTGTGCGATGTGATGGCAGGGCCCAAAACAGCACCTGGGAACCGACCTGAGATTCACGGCAAACCTCTGAGCCCTCCAAACTTGTTTGACCCGCCTTGTCACTTTGCACCTCATCCTCGGCAACCAAGCTCTCCACGACTTCCTTTACAGCCTGCGTAGCCCAAAGGCCCGATCAAAATGATGGGCTGGAAGAAAAGGCAGTGACCAAGTCTCCTGCTTGCGGGATAACTCCTTTTGATCTTCCAAGAGTCTCCAGCTCCTTGAGAGTGAAGAATGTAGCCTGCTTGCAAAGCGCGGGATGTCGGACTATGTACCTTCTGAGGAGCACAGGAAAAAGAGAACACCGGTAACAGCGAACAGGCACGACAACTCGGAGACGATGATGATGACGCATTCTCATCACGTCATCTTCATTGTTATCATTTGTCCACATCATCGTCGTCGCCATCATCATCACCACCACCACAATCACCATCCTCATCGTCAGTGTTGTCGTCGTCATCATAACTATACGCATGATTAACGTCGCCGCCATTGGACCGTCATCATTATGAAAAGGCATTGCCAGCAATAGCAGAAGCAGAAGCAGCTACGCTGTTGCAGGAGGTGCGGCTAATGCTTTCAGACGGTTCTGACTGGGAACGGCGTGTCATACTGGATTGTTTCGGGGTGTATGCTGAGGTACTATACAGAACACTAGGTCCATCCGACATGAGAGCTAGCTAAGCATCACATGGGCACCATCTCGTATTTATCGTGACCACACGCACCGCCAGCATCAATACTAAGAGGCGGAAAGCCCAAGTGGTCAGCAGCCAACGATTGCTGAGAAGCCGGGACAAACAACGGAGGGAACGAGCACGCTGACAGCGCCCGCCTCAGACTGCATTGCGGACAGCAATGTGGCCTTTTTCTCGTCGAATGACATGCCCTTCCTCGCAAAACAACTGCCAATCCCCCGAATGAAATCATCACAACGCCTCCGTGAAATCATGTCAACAACCTTTCTTGCTGATCACAAGGCATGCTCTGCCTGCTCCTTGTTTAACCTACCAGGGGACCTTGGTTTTTGTAGCATCACGGCGTTGCTGCGGGTGTTGCCACGGGAGGTTTCAAGTCTCCCGCTGTTGATTTTGAAACGCAGATGATTGCGCAGGAGTGTCCTGTTTGTCAAGAGGCCACAGTCCCCAGCTTGCATCATGTGCTGTGGGAGTGTTCCAGATTTGAAGATCCTCGCTGCTGTGAGCAGCCAGCACCGTTGCTGGCAGCCAGAATCGGGTGGGAATCCATCATGAAGTCTTGGTCCAAATGGGCAGAGTGAGGAAGGGAGTTCTTTCCCTGACGAAGGCTGCATGGGTGTAGCCTTGAGATTGCTAGCTGGCTGTGCTCGGCTGCATTCCTTTCGTTGAGTCTAGGGCCGCCGAGTGGCGCACCTGTCTTTTTGTTGTGGTGCTGCTGCACCCCCTCTTCTTCCTTGGCTTCATTGCGTGGTATGGTGAAGCTGTCGTGATGATAAAAATGTTGATCTCGCCTTCGTGCCTCAAGATTTTGGTTTAGGGGGTGTTCTTCATAGGTGAGGCTGCTTGTGGTTGTTCAGGAACCTGTCAGATGCAAGTTGAGATTGTGCCTGCTTTTTACTCTGAGTTTTCCTGTTGTTGGGGCTTTTGCCTGCTCAAAGTATTGTATTGGCAGTCATGCCTCTCTGGAACATTTGCAAGAAGAGGAGGAGAGTCCAGCTGTCCTCTTCGACATGTTTTCGCGCAATGCCTGGCAGAATCTGCTTAGTTGCTTCAAAACAACAAGTATGCCCAGAAAGGATCAAAGCAGCATCTGGCCTCTACTCGAGTCTAGGTTGAGAGGATGGAGCACCACGCTTCAAGCTTGAGCAGAAAGGCCGCCAACAAGAGAATAGCTCTACCACGATCAACTCACCTGTGCTCCTTGGCATGTTCATGGGCTAGCTCACGACAGGTACAAGAAAGTGCCGGACCAAAGAAGCCACCAAAAAGACTCAAGAAGAAGGCCTGCACGTGACTTCAGCAACACTGACAAAGTCACGCAGAATCGAGGTCTTCCAGATTGACGGAGTTTGCCGATGCATGTGCAAGCCAGCATAGTGCCTTCAACTGTGACTTCCGCGGGGTCCGGCACTCAGGGTCTGCCCAGCCCTCAAGGTAAGCAGGTCTGACATCTTTTCAACAGGCAGCTCTAAGCTAGATAGATCCCATCGAATGTGCTCAACGTCAGAGGCTTTGGCAGGCTCGCACTGACAGAAGGCCACGCCCAAGTTGGCCTTGACTGGTCAAACACGCAAGCCCTGTGCCTTTTTAATATGAAAGGACTTTCAGCTTGCTTGGGCTCCCTCAGCGCTCTCGCCGGGAGCTGCCAACTTCAACGGCACGTGGCTCCACCTCGTCCCGAAGAAAAACGCGCGCAAGGTCGATAAACTCATCAAGCTTAGCGGAGCACGGCATGCACTGGCCGTGGCCAGAACACACCTCTCTTGCAGCAGCCTGGCAGTGGTGAAGTACGGCAAAGTGGGGCTTACCAGGCACACATACGCCGCATGCGGAACTCTCGTCACATTGCACTGTTTACAACATGCCCAGGGCGCCCCTGGTGTGCAGGAGTTGAGGATCGCTGCGGCAGCAGGCTGCCCGGGAGGGACCTGAGGCACAAGATCCCCCGCACCCTAAATTCTGTTTTTGCGGGCACGCTCTGGCTTCGTCTGAGGACCAAGCATGCTCATACTTTATCAAGTAATCAGGCCTCTGACTCATGGGTTCGTGCTTCCCAGCCGAATGAAATACAGAAGCCATCGCTCGCAGCCGTCAAGCTGCAACACGCTAAGCGGAGTGAAGTATTGACACGTCTGAACGTGGGAGCTCTTAGGCTCCGGGCTTCCTCCTCCAGTTGGCCTTGCTGTGTGTTGGGACCACCTGAATGACTGAATCACTGAAGCCTTTGTGCGTAAAGGCCTCTTGACAACTTGAGGGCCAACCGGGGCTCCGACCAGGCTGCAGCCTTGCAAGCTAACCTCACCGGCTGCCGGCAAGCCCTCTCCTTCTACACCTTCGCTACAGCATCTGTCCGACTGTCCTGAGCTCCTGACTGCGCAACCAGCTAAAGCCACAAACAGCATCCAATGCTTCGAACCTGCAACCCGTGCAAGCGGAACAAGCGGAACAAGTGGAACATCCAAGTACGCTTTTTCAAAGTCTTGGGCCTCTGTGGCGCTCTGCTTCTGACGCCTTGGGCGTCTCATCAGAACCTCCCAGGCACCCGGAATCCTACAAACAAACGCCGTTCAGGATCAAGGGTCAACGTGAACTGCTGCCAACCCTGCCTAATCTCGCCAGCTGCAACCCGAACAAAGCCAACCTGGCTTCAAAGAACGAGCTGAAAACTCAGGCAAGACTTCATGCTTTCCAGAATACGTCTTGCAAAAGACTGGCCAGGAGAGCAGCAAGTGCAGTGGTGCACCTGACACAAAAACTCTGCAAAGACTTACCGAAAGAGAGCTTGACCTGACCCACAGCACATCGCTGAGTCGCCCACCAGCTCGGCTGGAAGCACTTTTGCCTTTGATGTGTGGGAATCCATGTGTCACCACACGTACATTACTGTTAGAGTTGTCTAGCATGTCTAGCCCTGGCAACGTGACAAGGCCCTGGCCAGTACATACCGCAGATGGGCTCTTCTGATCCACATAACCGGTTACTTTGCTGACTTCGCCTGCAAGCAGAAACTGTACTTCAGCTGTTGGGTCTTGCATGTCGTCACCGCAGCTCCGGCATCAAATTTAGTCCATCCCACCTCCACCCAAATCAGAAGTAAGCTCGAACACGCACTGCGCGCTGTCATCACAGCACCTTGCTTTTCACACTCCATGTAAAGAGGTGCTGAAGTGAAAACAAAGCCATAGATGATACACGAGATAGCAAAGTCTTCAAACTCTCAGGGTGCCATGGCCCTCTCAACTGGTCATGTGCTCGCAAGAATGCCTTAAGACATCTTCAGACTCAATTCGTACCTCTGCTCCCAAAGTTTAAACAGGCCTCACATAGAGCAAGACCCTGCAATTAGGAGTGTGGGCATCCTTGCTTCGGAGAGTCCAAGGTGTGAGGCGCGAAATCAAGAGGTCAGAGAAGATGGAGACAAGTCAGTCGAACCAAGTGCTGCCCTCCATCCACAAAAACGCTTGGCTCAATGCTGCAGGATAAGCTATATTGCATTTGACACGCGTCCTGTTTCCTAAGCCATCCCAGTCTGATCTAATTTGAAGCCCTCGAAAGTTGCTGCGGCGACTTACTGCAAAGACTCAACCAAAAACAACCGCTAATGATACCATGATCAAGACTTTCTACAACTGCAGTGGAGCGTAGCCACCCCTACGTTTTACACGCCACCGTACAGAGACAAAACATCCATAGCAGCGTTCTTGCATGGCAACAGTGTCAGGCGAGAGAAACATGAACAAGCTACTTTGAATGACTGGCAAAAGGCATTGATAGTGCACGTCATTACCGTGTAGCGCGTAACTTCACAAGGCCACGGGCCACACAGAAGCGGGACGAAGATTTGGGCGCACGTGTGGCAACAGTGGCCAGTGCATGCACCGTTCCTGCAAAAGACCACTCCAACCATTGGAGTGGCAGGGATGCCTCAAATGGGCCCTGTGAAGATATCCCTTTCATTTTGTGACAAAACTCAGCCTGGACGGAATGAGTTCCTGGCTCAACTTGGCACGCTTCCAAGTACTTCTCGCAAGGGGTCTTGCCTCAGCTTTTCTCTATCAGGCAGACGCCGGACAGTTGACGAACATGCGTGTTCTGTATGGGAACGTGCCACCAAGGAACAAGGCTTTAGATATGGTATCTGAGCTCCTTTTGTGCAGCCACCCTGGTTCAGGGGACAGGTTGCAAACTGCAAGCCATATGGTGCGTGCTTGCCGCATGCTGCGCTTCCGCCTGATTCTTGGGGAAGTATGTGTAGCAAACCAGCTCGTAGATCTTGGCGACCTTGGCTGCTTTGCTACTGCAAGATGCTGAGAAATGCAAGCTAGCCAGAGGTGCAGGCACACGGGTCGCGATCTCTGTCCTGCTGATGCTTGAAGTCCCAGGCCTGTGGAGGCCACATGTGCCCTACCTCTACAGTAGTGCATCATCGCTATGAAGTCAGAACCTGTCTTATTCTAGACACTGCTTTATTCCAGACTCCGCTCTAGAATCACACGCGACACTGCGATGAGGTGCGGAGTCGTGCAGCATTGCTGTCGAAAACCTTTTGGCTACGCAGTCCCCTGCCTCATAGCCCAAGGCACTAAGGTGGTAAACAAACATTGTTGAAGCCTGCATTGCAGACTGAGGAATTGATGAAGACTCCAGGCAAAATCTCCAAGGCTCCGGCAGCAGAATCTTGCGCTTGCACTATCGCATCTAATGCCTCGCTTAAGGCTACAGTTGGAAAGAACAACGCAAACTCCGAGCTCACTTGCATCGCTCGTGTTCTTGAATCCAAAAGTGGGCTGTAACCTCATTTCCCGACCTCCTCGGTGCCTCTTCTCCCATTCAAGTTTGAAATTGTCCAAGTTTGCGGAGAGCAGGTCTCCGGAGCAACAGAGGGAGCAGCAACGGTGCCAGAAAGAGTACGGCAACCCTGGCCCGTATGCCAACCTGGGGTTGACGTCTGATCTGAGCATCAAAATATCTGCGAAATTGGCAAGTCTGTAAAGACTTGGCTCTGGGTTTGTCACTTGGTCACTGCAGATCTTTTTCAAGGTGGTCGAGGTGCAGGTCACCAGACCAATGCCGGCTTCAAAAGTGAAGACAACCTAAACCACATGATACGACACGACAAACAATTTGCAACACACACCAGCAAGACAACCCAAATCAGCAAAGCCAAGTTTGAAGGGTAGCGAAGTGGGCCGTAAAAGTCAATGTAGCATGCGCATGACCAACCTAGATGCGAGCAGCAAGTTGGTCGTTCCGCCACCGTGACGTGCATAAGGGACTGAGCTTGCTGATGAACATGCGAAGCACAAGTAGAGACTATGATAAGGGCCCAAGATGGTCTAAGCCAGTTGGGCCAACCGCTCCAACCAGCGCCGCGGAAAGCGATGTATGCTTCCCAAAAAACTCAGCCCGCCTGGCCTCAAGCGGGACCACAGACGCTTTCAAGAAAAAGGATGAATTCCTTCAAAGCTTGTAATGAAACAAGCGCCGTGGCCACTGTTCATGGACAGCCGCCACAAAACTCAGAGACAAGCATAAGCCATAATCTCCATCGAGCTCGATCAAGGAAGCCAAAAGGATGATGACGGCCTGGTCAAAAAGCCGATGCCGCTCTGCCAGGTAGTTCCGCCCCTCCAACACAAAGGGTTAGTATGCTTCAGAAAATGAAAACGGTGAAAGAGTTGTGCACTACGGTGGGTGAGTGCATAAGCCAGCAAGTCGAGACTGATTGCGAGAGGTGGCTCGTGCAGTCACTTATCCTGCTCAGCTTCTCAGGCATTCGGTATTGAAGCTGGTATTCTAGATGGATCTCAATGGATCTCATATTCAGGAGCCGCAAATGTCAAGTTTGCCTGTGGGAGCAGCCTCATGTCTTCATGCTCCAAGGCAAGCTGAGGCATTTCGCTAGATGACAAGCGCTGAAAAACCTGTCTACATAGTGGGTTACGGCTTCAGGCCGAGCTGAACAGTCTGTCTGAAGGACCACATTTCAGTGGATGTTGCGGCGCTCTCACAGTCAAGAAAGAATGACAAGCTGCAAACTGTGGGCAGTTGCAAGGAACTGAATGGCAAGCTCCAAAGGGTGAACGGAAGATTGCAAGCTTCCGAAAATGCCAGCCAAAATTACTGTAGCCAAGCGACGTGGGTGTGGCAAGGATAGTGACAGCCACGGTAAAAAAGTGCAACATCAAACAGCAGAGTGAAGGCAGTGAAAGCACAGCTCTAATACACTTTCACATGCCATTCCGCTTCCAGTCTTGCATGCGTTCCATGACAAAGAATGCCTTGCGCACATGTCCTATACTCATAGAAGTCTCAAGATCATTCTTACTTCATCAGGCCTCATACTCTTGGCTTCGGACCGTGCTTGTGTTCTCAGGAGATGGGACCGCTGCGTCGTAGTCAACAGCTGCCTTCATCCGTGCCCAGTCATGCTCAGCAAGCGCCCACTGTCACCAAACCAGCAAACAAGTAGTTCTTGTCATTATCATCATGCTGAACTTGATGCTGCATGAGGCCACCGGAGTCTCAGGATGATGCTTGACAAAAGTGCAAGTACTTTTGGACCACGCCAGGATTAGAGCACTGCCAGACCTGAGCTTCAATCTTCACGTGACCTGAGGCTTTCAGAGAAGTTCAGAGTTCTGAGTTTCCCGCAAGGCTTCCAAGTCGCGGCAAGTCATTCAGACCCGGCGTCAGGGGATTGATACACCTATAAGACACAGCAGGCACCTGTGAAGTAAGCTCAGTGTTCTGGACTCTCTGGACTCTGGCCTGTTCTTGAGGCAAACTGGATTGTTGGTGTAGATCGTCTCACCTGAGATGCACGGCAAGAGCTAAGACAAGTCAGCATCTTGCGTTACTTTAGTGGGTGCTCGCTTGCTTCCTGGCGAACAGTCGCGAACGCAAAAGTACACCGCATTGGTCATGCAACATTTGCAACTCAGCGACCATCTTCTCTAGAGTTCATGTTCACCTGCCGCGAATCTGGGGCTTCCAAAAAACATCAGTATCTTCCTTTACGGGACATGGCCCTGGGGCTGGCCGATGCCTGCGCACAGCTGGCAATGCCTGCCAGCAGCAGCAGGCGCTCGATGCGTAGGAAGTTGTTCATTGCACCTGACCGGCGAACGATGTTAAAATCTTTATGCATGTGAGAGCCCATCCAGGTCAGAATGCAGCACCTCCCAAAATGAAGGGCGAATGGGAGCCAAAGCTTGCTGGAGAACAAGGTATAGGTTGTGGGGGAAGCGAAGCGGCCTGTCGATTGACAGGAAGTCAGGAAAGATTCACCTCGGTAGCAGAAATGGGGTATGTTAACAGCAGCTTGGCTTTGTCACAGCATGACAGATAACATTCGAACCGGGTCGCTATCTGGAGTGGCAAGAGGCTGGCTGCCTCCATGTATGGAGAGAGGTCTACCCCCATAACGAGCCACCAAGGGCTGCTGGGACGGCCACAGTTCACATCCAGAGCAGGCCTGTTGCTGACCCTGTCACAGAAACAGTCCTAGTCTTGGAACAGGGCCCATGCTCATGTGGGCTTGTTTGGTGAAGCAGAAATTAACAAGAGTCCAGCCCGTGCTCAAACAAGACAGAGTACTAACAATAGTAAAAGTAACAACACTAGTACTAATTCTAATAATAAACATAATAGTACGAAGAATAGCAGAAATAGCAATCACACTAATAAGAAAATGATGTTAAAAGCAAACTCATCAGTGGTCCTTGCCAGCCTTGCCCTTGCCTTCGGTGGCTCCCTGAGGAGGAACAGCACACTCCGCAAGACGTTCTACTAAGTGACTCACCCAAGTACTTGCTTCCCGACAACGAAGCATCTTGGGTGGTTATGATCTGCCATTTCTACATTGTTACATAGTGTTGTTCTGTACCATAACAAATGACGGCTTCATTCCATGTCTATCTCCATTGAAGCCTTTCCCAACCGCAGCCTCCTGACTCTAAGTATTTGCGTACTAGTCAAGCAAGATGCAAGAGTAAGCACGGCATCCGTTCCTCAAATCAGAATACGAAAGCTCAGACTGTCCAAAGAATCACCATTGGATGCCTTCTTTCCCTTACCAGTCTCCAGGGCCTGCAGAAGTTGCAACTAGCACATGACATGCCACTGACAGCTGCCTCACTGCACCTGGCCTTTCCTCCTTTGCCGCCCTTGTCTGTGTCTTTGCCGCCTCAGTATGCATGGCTACATTTGGGTCCTTGTCCACATCTGCAGAAGCGTCGAACATTTTCGAACGGAACCAGATGGCCTTTTCCTTTGCCACCTTTCTCTTCATAGCCTTTGCCGGCTTTGCCTCCTTTGCCTGGGGCATGTGGCGGCATGACCGAACCAAATGTAGGCCAGAGTGCATTCTGCACAACTTGCCTTTGTCTTGGCTTTTCCCGTAGCCTGTCGCTCTCCAGATCTGGTCTTGTTATTCCGTCAGCTTTGACAATGCAGAAGTTCAAACAGTCCAGGCCTTTGTCGTACCCGTACCCCTTCTCATACCCTTTGTCCTCACGGTGTCTTTAGCACAAGGGTTGGTGGCGATCTGAAGGCTGACGGGCTAGGAAAACTCTGAGATCCGGGCGTAGCTCTTCTCGTATCCCTTTTCGTAGCCCTTATCCCATCCCTTGCCTGCAGCTCATCTCAGATCAAAGCTGGAACCAAGCCATGATCAAGTCCCCACAAGTCAAGGCTGTGCCTGAGCTGGCAGCGCCCTTATCACCCTTGCCCCAACTTTGTGAAACACTGGCACCGTACCTGAAGAGCAGAAGCCATTGTTGACTGAATGTAGATTTTGAAATGAGGTGCACCAGGTGCTGTCCGAAGCAGGTCGGGCTTTTGCACCTTTTGCAGGAGCACCCCAACCTGATGGAATGAAACCACGTGAGAAAGCAGGCCTCCTGTCGCACACCCCAAGCACACATAAGGCTCTGGCCTCCGCCGCTCTCACCATACCCATAAGAACCTTTACCAGATGCCTGGTCAATGACTGATTAAAGCGCATAGGTATGTCTGTAACACTTAACAATGTGCCTTTCCGAGCGCGGACTCCAATCCAGGTCCAGGGCCCCCGGCTGGCTTCTTCATGGACCTCGAAGCTACAATCAGTCAGGAATGAGAGGGGGACCCATTACTCAGCTAAGCTGTAAGCATGATGGCTGGATCATTCAAATGGGGCGACGCTCCGCCAGCACCACCTCGAATGTACTACATGAGCGAGAGTAGCAACCGCAATTTTTGCAAACCCACGGACACGATGCAACGCCTCGTATACTGTGCAATCTGACACAGCGAGGCACTTGGCGCTTTGGGTCATCTTCTGAGGTTCCCACTACCTTCCAAGACGGTCAGGTCCTTAATGTCCTGCAATGCTCATGTGATACATCGCGGTTCACCTAGCAGCCTAGCAACCTGAATGCATCAACTGCACAACATGCATCCAAGCCGGCAAGCAGCCTGATAGAAATGCTGGCTGGCTGGGCACATTAAGCACATGAGAAACCCGATGAATGTCCTGGCCACGGAAGATGATAAAATCATAAATCTCGCTGGAAGGAGGGATTTCCGGCACCTGAGCAAGCATGGCAACACGAGGGCAGCCTACAGGATCAGTTATATGAACATTGTCATCACTCTTGGTTTTGTTGACCCTGATGCACCTTTCTGCCCTCCGTGCCGAAAGATCGTACAGACCTGGGTGGCATGCGGGGTACTCATTTCACAGAACGAATTTGCAAATGAAACTGGCTGGCCGAAAGATGACTTGGGCAGCGTCTGTAGGGCAATTGTGGACTCCTGTGTGTTGATGGTGTACAGGATCCCCTCAAGTGTTGCACGGATGCATGCCGGAATCGGACCAAAGCCAGTATAGGTGAAACAACATGGAAGGGCCTCGTACCGGATGTTGGAATTTGAGATCAGGCTGATCTTGCTACCAATGTACCTGCACCGGATACTACATGCGCTCATGCCCAAATGCATTTCCTCAGCTCAACATATCAGCTGCCCTCGCTGTCAAACTGCATGACGAGCTCACGGGATTGTGCTGCTCGTCATGGTGCTGTCCAGTTATGCACTCCTGCGATACAGCAACCCACATTGAGTCAAAGCAACCTGATCAATGCCACAAAATGATTGCAGCAAGTCCTCGAGTGAGGGCACGCGTTCTGGGGCCCCGCCCCCTGTTCCACGCAGCAGCTGAAGATCCAAAACGTATGGCAATCATGACGGGATCCAAATAACGATCTTTCTTGGAAAACCCAACTACAACCAAGCTTGAAAGTTAACACAAGACACTTGGGCATTGCAACCTGACATGAATGAATATGCACAAAAACAACAAACAACAGAAGACTTTTTGTTGGAGACGCCCGGGCACGCATCCTGTCATTTTTGTGCGTGAAACTAGTTACTGGCAAACCCCCACCATATGAATTTGTAAACCATCCTTTGTGTGAAAACAATATGGATCGTTATGTTGGTAACTCATACGACCCAAGCACCGGAAAGCAATGGCGAAAAGAAGCGTACATCTTCGCGCACACACCCAGCGTTGGCAAACTGGAACATGGCTGCTGCTGCTGCTGCTGCTGCTGCTGCCGCAACCGCTGAGCTGGATACCACCGAACGCGCACATAATGCTAAGTGGATTTTTGGCGACGGGCTCTGTGCGAAATTTGTAATATGCATCATGCGCACAAATTGCATCATGTCTTTTTTTACATTTTTCTTCATCCATCTCTTGAAAACGTATTGCAATTCAACATCTAAATCGCACCAGCATATGTAAACTAAAACTATGGTGCATGGCAGCCAAACACAAATGACTCAACGGCCAAAACGTACGACCAAGCACGACAAAGCAAATAAACAAAGCATCACCAATCGTACGAAAAAACGGAAAATATTCAGAGAATCTGAGAATGTCTTAATGCGGCATTTTGACTCCCAAATGGCGCAAAGATATCATGCACAAACATATCCTGCCAATCAGGCGTCAAAACAAATTCACATCAATGTGAACTTGTAAAATTTTGTTCATTGTCATGAGTGCACTATAATGCACAATACGAAGCCTGCGCGAAGAACTGCAAAATTGCCGGCTCGTGACGGGACAACGAAACGTGACCTATTGCATTGCGCAGGTGACAACGATTGAACCAGCATGTCGCAACAGCACAAACACCACACGTGTGGGCCTCCAGCAAAATGAACGATTTTGCTTCCGAAATGCCCCCTTCCTAAAATGACACCATCAAGGACGTCTCGTCACTTTGTTATGCCAATGTAAAACGACATCAACAAACTTCAGCGTTTACCTGGATAGACACTTTCATTACCAGGTCGTCCGACGGGCGGTTGTTTCCAAAAATGTATGGCTCAAGGTTGGCGCAGCAGCTTTTGGAGCAAAAATTACTGAGTCAAACAAAAACGGTTCTCCGAGATGAGAAATTGTACTTGCCGTTTGGCTTGGCGCAGCTTTACATAAATCTTTTGTGTAGATGAGTTGTGTTTTGGATTTTAGAATTGCAGCAGGACTTGAAATTGCAAACAGGAATAGTTTCGCCTCGTTTGGGCCTCGAAATTTCATATGCAATTTGAGCCTCGGCGCTCTGAAAGGCCACAAAACTTAACAGCACTCAAAGATACCAAAATGTCCCAGGATGGCCGTAATAGGCAAGTGTATTCGCCTGCTAGTTTTGAATAAAGGTAATGATTCATCGGCAATCATGAGACTAGACTGGCACTCATTTGAGACAAGAACGTTTTTGTTTCCAAACGTTTCCAAAACCAATCACGACATAAGGTGAGATATTGTAATATTCCAATTCTGATCACTCAATCCGGAAATACTGCAACGGATGATATGTAAAAGCAAGCTTGTAACTGCAAGGCTCAATGATTGCAGGAAGAAAACTCCGATATCAGAAATGTGTATATCCAATCTTTCATTCAAACAGCGTCCAAGAACCACACTCGCATTCTTTTTTTTCTTAGCACGCCGCGGGGTATAGCTGTGGAATCTGGTGCAAAGTATGCACACGTCTGTATCTGCCATTTAGGCGAGTTCATTACCATGTAGGTAATCTCTCACCCCTCGTCTGCCGAGATTT